GCTCCCTGCTTAGCGGTGAGGGAGAGATCGCAGCCGGGGTTTGTGTCCTTGGGGGGGGGTTGCTGCAGCTCCCCTTTACCCCCAGGATGTGCGTGGCACCCTCCTGCCTTGCCCTGCGTTCCCTGTGGTATTTGGGGGGTCCCCCCTTGTGTCCTTCTTCCCCAAAGGCTGCTCTTTTCCCTCGTTTCTGCCCCAAAACGGCAGCGAGCCTGTGCAATCCAAGCCCCTGCCCGGCTCTGCCTGCAAACCGCTTCCTGCCTTTTGTTCGGCAGCCGGGTAAACCAGGATGTGCGTGGCACCCTCCTGCCTTGCCCTGCGTTCCCTGTGGTATTTGGGGGGTCCCCCCTTGTGTCCTTCTTCCCCAAAGGCTGCTCTTTTCCCTCGTTTCTGCCCCAAAACGGCAGCGAGCCTGTGCAATCCAAGCCCCTGCCCGGCTCTGCCTGCAAACCGCTTCCTGCCTTTTGTTCGGCAGCCGGGTAAAAGTTGAGGTCCGGTTTTCCACCTTGGGTGCGCCCGCTTTTGGCAGCAGCCCCAGGGGTGATTTTTTGGCAGCGGGGGAGGGCTGCGTGCCTTGGCAGGAGTTATTGTTGGGGTGATGCGGGCGGGATGGCTGTGCATGGATTGGGAACAGCGGCCAACGTCCCCATCCCGGGATGCGGTGCTGCCGGGATGGGTCTTTGCCACTGTGCGCCTTGTGGGGGTCACCGGCCACCCAAACGTCCCTTGTGGCCACCAGGCTGGGTGCTGTGATGGGGCATTACCCGGGGAGGGCACATCTGGAAGGGTAAATTTGGATATGGGGGATGCTGAAGAGGCAGAGGTGCCTCAGGTGCGGGGTGTTACCATCACCAGCTCCTCACCAGCTGAGCTCATCCCCCAATTTTGGGAGGAGAAGGGGTTAAGCCAAAGCATCCGAGCTAAGCCCTGGCAGGAGGAGGCTTAAAAACCTCCCAGGCCTGCACTTTGCTGGAGAACAAAGCTCACAAAGCGACGGTAAGCTTGTAAAAACCTGCGGGAATGTGGGTGCCGAGGAGGGCGACGGGGTCTGGGGGGCTCGGTGTCACCCTCATGGGCAGCACCGTCCCTCGTAAACCCTCCCCGGGTTATTTTTGGAAAAATCGGTTGGCCGGGCTTCAGCAATGTCTCGGGTTTGTTTTTGGAGGAGACGGTGGAGATCTGGAAGCCGTCATGGGATGAGCGTGGCAGGGTCCTGCGCCAGGGCAGAGCGGGGCCGGATGGGGCACAAGGGTGCGGGAACCACCCCGGGGCTGCAAACCATTCCCCCCTCACCCTGCAAACGGGGTGGTTGATGCATGGAGGTGGCTGATAACGAATTATTTTCTACTTGTCCTTGCAAATCCCGAATTTGTTTCACCTTTTGGGGCAGCTTTTCTAGGAAAGCAGCCCAGGCCCTGCTCCAGCCCCTCAGGTGCTGCCTGGGGTGGACGTATGGGTCGTGCTTGGCCGTCCCCATCCCTACGAGCCCCTTCCCTTGCACCCCATGCATGCCGATGGGTGAACCCCAGCACCCCTGTACTCCAGCACCTCGCTTTTATTGACTTTTTATATGAAAGGAGCGGCGGGGGCAAGGATTGAGCCTAGGCAAATACTATAAACGCACCTAGGGTTGCGGTCGGGGAAGGAGCCGGTTTGTTGTCGTTATCGGAGTTAAAATATAACCTGACAAAATTGTACCTCTGGCCCCTGGGCTCCTGCGTCCTCCGAGCGCGCTGTGGGTGGACAGAGGTCCCCGAGGGGTGCGTGTGTCCCAGGTTTGGTGGCACGAGTGGGACCTGATGAGGTGTTGGCGTGGCCGGGGGCTGGTGCGTGACTTCCTTACCCCGTGGAGAGCCAAATTTGGCAGCTGGTGTTGGTGTTAGCAATTACTGGGGGATCCCCATTGCAGCCCTGTCTGATCTCAGCCTGCTCTTCCTTAAGGATCCGGTGGCGCTGGGGTTTTGCACTGGGGTGGATGAGAAGTGGTCGGACTTGTGACAAGGCGTTGAGCCCACCCATGGGATTTGGGTGCTCTCTTTGCATCCCCCCCATCCCATAGAAAGAACTATGCCATGTCCCGATGGAGCTGTGGGATGGCAGAGGGGATGCTAAAGCTCACGGCCGTGCTTGGTTTCTCTTCCAGCATCCCGGAGCCACCATGGAGCCCAGCGCAGGCCCCCGGCGCTGCTGCCTGCTCCTGCTGCTCTGCCTGCTGCGGGGCTGCGCGGGCAGGGATGCGGGCAGGGATGCGGCTGGACCGGGGCTCTCCGCCGCCTCCTTCCTGCAGGACCTGCTGCAGCGCTACGGGGAGAGCGAAACGCTGAGCCTGAGGCAGCTCAAGTCCCTCCTGAACCGCCTGGATGTGGGAGTGGGGCACGGCAACGCCTCCCGGCCGCCGCAGCAGCGCATGAACCTCTCCCGGGTAAGGCAGGGGCTCTGCAGACCCCCCAAAAATCTCTCTGTGGAGCT